TATAAATTTTAATATAGTGAGAAAATTTTAATTTTCATTATATTTTATTAATAAATTTAGTCTCTAAATTATTATTTTTATTATCATTATATATTAAATTACTTTATTTTATACTTTTAATTTTAGAATTAATTACTATTTAAATAATAAAATTATAAATTATTTATAAATTAAAATTAATTAATTTATATTTTATTTTATTTATAATTTTAAATAAATTATCTTATAATTTATAAAAGATATTTTTAAAATTATATTAAATTATATAATTTTTTTATTTTTAAATATTAAAAAATATATATAATATTTTTTTTATTTAAATAATAATTATTTTTTATTAAATATAAATAAAATTTTATAAAAAGTATAAAAGTTATAGATAATTTTTAAAAATAAATATTTATTTATTAGGATAAATATTATTTAATTTTAATTTAATAATAAATTTTATCTTTTTATTTTATATAAAACTAATTGAATAATTATATATTATAATTATATTATTTAAATATATTTATATTCTTTTTATTTTTAAAATATTAAATAATATTTATTAATATTCTAATTATAGTTTTATAATTTAATTAATTTACTTTTTAAAAATAATAAGATTTTATTATATAATTTAAATTTTAAAAATTATTTAAATATATAATAATTTAATAATTTTTATAATATATTTTTAAATTTTTTATTAATTATATATAATAATAATTATAATTAATATAATACTTAAATTTTTTAGTAAAATATAAATTTTTTATTATATATAAATATTTTTAATTTTATTAATAAATATTTTTAATTTTTAATTCAAATAAAATTAAAGTTTTCTATTTTAATTATATATAAACTTAATAATTTTTATTAATTATTAATTAGTAAAAATTAATTTATTTATATTATAATTAGAATAATTCTTTTAGAAAAAATTTAATTTTATTTTGAGTTAAAAATAAAAAATATTTATTATTAAAATTAAAATCTTTTTATATAATAAAAATATATATTTACTAATTATTATTAATAAAAAATTTAAGTATTATAATTATTATATATATATAAAATATATATTTTATTTTTAGATTTTTTTCTAAAAAAATTTTAATTATATATAAATTAATTAGCTTTATATATATATAGTTTAAATTCTTATAATTAAAAAAATTAAATAATTATAAAAAAATATAATATTAATATTATCTATCCTAAGAAATTCATCTTTCATTTCAAAAATATCATCTTTTGAAAAAATCTGATATTGATTTTGATAATATAAATAACAAGATTCACTTTAATCATTATCAAAAATTCAAATCATCAAAAAAAGATTTAATATCAACAACTGAAAAAATAATCAGCACAAAATTATATATAAAAAATTATTATTAATTAATAATTTAAAAAAGAATGAATATAAAAAAAATAAGTATGAAAATATATATCAAAGTAAAGAATTTTAGTTTTATTTAAATTAAAAATAAAAAAATAGATATTAGTAAAATTAAAAATCTTTATAAAATAAAAATATAAATTTTACTAATTATAATTAATATTATTTATAAGAATTATTATATTTTTAATATTAACAAAAAATATTGTCAAATTTTACTATAGTTATATTTCTTTATATTCATATTTTTTTATAATTATTTTTTTGAGTTTTTCAGTTATTAATTAATTATAATTAAAAAATCTCTTTATAATTATATTTCTTTATAGTTATATAATTTACTTTTCAAATATGATGACTATAGAAAGATTTTGACTATATATATTTTATATATTTTTTTATAATTGTTTAATATATAATATCTAATTCAAATTATATAAAATTTGAAAATATAAGAGCAACTGTTAATATACCAGTAAATAAAATTGAAACCAAAAAGTAAAATTCAATAATTTTAAATAAAAAAGACTTAAAATGAGATTAATTTATATATATATTATCTATATCTTTAAAAGAAAATATATTTAATAAAATAAAAAACTAAAAAATTTATATAACATTATATTTGAATTAATTTAATAATATTTTTAAAGACATGACCCATTAATTACTAAGTTTTCATTTGAGAATATATAATGTATAACATCTAAACTTATCAATATTCTGGATTTTATAAATTCAATAAACTTCTTGACTAAGTAGTAAATGAGAATTTAATTCATTAATTTATAAAATTCACAAATCAAATTTTGAATTTGTTTCTTAAAAGTTTATTGAATTTATAAAATTCAAAATATTGTTAAGTATAATTTATGATTATAGGAATCTAAAAGACCCTTACTTTCAAACGCTTTTCTCATATTGGAACAAAATTTTACACTAATTCGTTGAGTTATTAGGTCCCAAAGTTCCAAATTATGCTAGTAAAACTTCAGTTATTTTTATTATTAGCATAATTAAGGTTTTGAAACCTAATAACTCAACGAATTAGTGTAAAATTTTGTTTGAAAATTGATATATTTAGGTAATTCTCATAGAGGAGAACATATTTAATAAGTCAATCCCTTTTCAGAATTTTCTTGAAAACAAAAAATATTTGGAGTTAAAATTTCATTAATTAAAAAATATTCGTATATATCACTTAATTTTCCTAAAATGGCAATATCAATGGGATTTTTAAACATAGGATTTTTTCGCAAAATTTTTCGTGTCCGTTTTCATAAGCAAGCCATTCTTAATTTAATATAATTGTCATAATCAGTGTGATTGTCAACTGATTTGGAAACATCGACTAATCCAGATAATGTGCAATTGACTCTCGACATCAATACTACAGAAATTTACTATATCGAGAAGATTAATATAGCCCGTTTTGAGCTCTACTATATCAAGAGTTAAATTAATCTTTACTATAACGAGAGTCACTTTAATTTTGTTGAATTACTACAAGAAAATATGAGACAAATATATAAACGACAATGTGTAAATGAGAGGAAGTTAGAAAATTAATTTTCAACGAATTAAAAACGATTCGAGTCACGTGACGTCAATCATGTGATTTTAAAGGTAAACCAGTCAAAACGTATGACATAAAATAAGAATAATATTTCGATTAGGGTAAGTTAGAGAAAAGTTAAGGTTATATTACAAAAAAGATATATATTAAAATTTCGCAAGGGACATTTTTTTATTAGAGATACGAAGCTGTTTTTCATTTGGTTTGAATTTTTCCGTTACACATTGATCTTGCGATTTTGATTGGTTCACCTCTTAAATTCGTATCGTGTGGCCCCCGAGGTCGTCCCAAAAAAGTCAAATACTGACCCGCAGCAATCATTTAGCAGATTTTTGAAACTATCGATTGATGGATAACAATGGCATCAAGTGTCAATTTCGAAGAGATACATTCGAGTTTATTAACTTTTTTCCGAACTCGTTCTAATAGTAAAAATAGTAGTCATGGTTATAGTAATAGTAGAAAAAGGAAAATTAGTGCTGAGAAATTGGTTGTATTTTCTTACGGTGAGACTGAAAAAATTGATTCTTTTTATTATTTATCACGTCAAACCTTTTGTAATATTTGAGAAATTTTAAGATCTGCTGTTGGTTACTTTGGGAATTAGGTATATTTTTAATTGCTATTTTAGAATATTTCTTTATTAATTACGAGCTAACCTTCCTACGAATTTTAAGAGTCGCGACGTTAGTGGATATTGTGTTTCTTTCATTAGAAGAGACAATTGAATTGATAAAGTTGTTAAAAAATGTAATTACTCTGCATTTTATCAATGATGATCAGATAACCAGTAATTCACATTCCAAACACATAAAAATTTAAAGGACGTAACAAACGACAGCGACAAATCTTCACGTCCTACGTCATCGTTATTTTCTTACCTTTGTGCACTCCAATTCTCGGCAACTCACACTTTTATATGTAACAAGGTTCTCTTGACCGAGAAATTGGACAAAGATTTCCGAAATAACTTTCAGGATAATATTTATTTTGTAGATGTCTTAAAGTCAAGTGGTAAACCAAGATTGGCAAGTAAACTAATTTGATGAACTTTTTCGATAAATTCTATATTATCCTTACTTAATTCTCGCTCTCTTCTTTCAATTATTATAAAGTTACAAAATACTCCAATTACATTTCAAGATTTTCTTAAAACAGAAATACAACAGTTCTTACTCGATTCAGCAACTACTACTAATATTAATAATAATAGTAATAATAATAGTGTATTCTATATAAAAAAATCCATTGATTGCATGATCACGATTACAGGATGGCTTCTCGAGTACCCGATTATTTACGTGCAAAATATCGAGGAGAGTATTGATGAAATAGAAAATAACGAAGGGAATTGTTTAGGGAATGAAGAATTGAGATTGTGTCGAGTGTACTTGAGAAAACGAGAAGCTGATAAGAATCGGTAAATTTAACATAAACTTTATTGATTGGTTTTCATCCCTTCAATTGAATTCAAGTCAAATAATTATTTTTCCTAAAGGCAAATTTTGTTAAGTTTCTCTTTTCCAAAATCAATTTTTTCGACACAAGAAACAGAAATTATTGCACGTTTAAAATCCCTTTTCAATTCTCGACTTTCAGAGCAACAAAACGCTATTTGGAAAAATGAATGTGAAATCGAGATTTCGGATGTTTGTTTGCCGGTTGTAGCGCTCTAATATAATTTATAATAAAGTGGTCTAGTTTAATGGGATAATGACACTTGTTAACTTCCATTTAATATAAATATATAAAATTCACAAAATTGTGCTTGCTTTTTGATACATATGTCAAAAGTTATCCAAAGCGAAAAACGTATGAAAAAAGATGTGGATTAAGTAAGTATAAGTTCACTAAATATGGCACCGTATTCTACGATGTAATATATTTCAGGAGTAAAATCTTGATAGAACTTTATTTTCTCAATAACAAAAAATACAAAACTGCTGTCACAATACAAATTCTCTAGCCCATTTTAGATCACGTGGATACATATCCTATGAGACGTCGATCACAATTCACGTGATAATGATCACAATATCACCGATCTCGTGTATATAACGGAATTAGTGAAGGCGTCGAGCCCAGTTCATTACAACGTTCAGCTAATGAATAATTCTTGCTTTGATTCATTAGACAGCATCCTTAAAATGATACATCAAGACGGGTATGGATGGGAAGAAATGGGACGAATTACAATATAAAGCAACTCGTCGTGAAATAGAGTAGAGCACTATTAAATATAAAATTATAAAATGATAAAATGATTAAATTCTTAGATAATATTCAGATTAATTAGATTGATTAAATACTTGTAATAAAACATCCTTCTTTAATAAAATACACACTCCTTTATCATATTGATCTATTCTAAAGTACATGTTAATTAAGTAGTTCACGGAGAAACTACAAAAGTATTAACATCGTAAATTATAACCGAAGTATTGTGGTCGTGAATTATTACCTTCTAAGATAGGAACTAGCGACTCAGGCAATTAGACAGGCGATTGGATTGGTGATCGATATTATAACGGACACGTTAATAGGGTTGCGGAAAAGACACTCGAAAAACCCTCGTGTTCGTACAGTCTCACGGTTTACTCAGTAAATTTCATTTTTTCAAAAAATTTGCGTGGCTGATCAACAAATTTGAGCACATTTTACACGTAGAAGGTAATTCTTTCTGTTTATAACTACTTTTTGAACCTTAATGAGTTTGCTCATTTCGCTATTATTTTTGCACATATAATTGGCATGATCCTGAACAGATGCTTAAATCTAGCTTAGAGTATCAATAAACCATGTTCAATTTATATATAAACTTGATTTCAACTCTAACCCTAACGCTTAACCCTAACCTTAAATAATATTATCAGTAGGAATTTCCGGGCTGCCCCACCAACCTGCAGACGTGATACTTGGCTAACTCGAATTCTTCAGAATAAATATTCCATTCATGTAAAAATCTCATTTGATGGAAACGCTGAATGCTCCAAAAACAAGAAAAAACAATCCATTATCGAATTCCCAATTTTTTCCGACAAATTAGTCAAATTTAAATGGTTCGTATTCAAATTAATATATTCAAGACAACAATTATGAAAGTAAAAGAAGATGATATGGAAACGGCAGTTTCAAAAGAATAAATATTCTCAGAGTACCATCGATCAGTAACGATTGTTTGTATCTTCCTCTTATCGTCCTATATCTGGTGGTACTATACAAGTTTAAGGGGTAATTTTCATTTGATATACAGTACAAATCGATGTTATAGTTCCGAATCCTAAAACTATAACCGAAAGTATAGCCGAAATTATCGTAAATCGTGGTCTATATACTCTCCCCTATAAAAATTTAAACCTTAATTTTAGCCTCAAGGCTAGTAAGTTAGTAGTTAAAGTTTTTTAAGAAATTACGCTGTAAATTTAAATTTATTATATGTGAAACAAATATGTAGTCTATTCATAGTACTTACTATAGACGGTATAGTTTAGGCGTTGGATCAGTCCAGTGTGTAACCATAACAGGTTTACCTGCAGGATATGCATTTCAAATTCATAGTCTTTACCAAAAATGTGTTAATTTTGAAAGGTTTGACATTGATTTCTGTGCCACCATTGTAGTGTGTCAGTCGGAATCTATAAGTGTTTTGTGAATATCAAAAAAAGCGAGTGTCGTGTCTGAATATCGTCCAATTTTTTCTAGAATCAATATGTATTGTTTTATTTGACCTTAAAAATTTTTTGTGTTTGGATTTTGAAATCTCAATTGCATATTTGTTTTTTTAAGTTGTACTCCTAAAAAGTACCATTATAGAGAGTGTCAGTTATCTTTGGTGGAATTAAAATATGTTTGTATTTACCAAACGAGTTTATTCACGTTCATTCGATGGGATATTTGTTTTTTAAGGACATTGATTTCTGTCTAATAGTATGCGCATACAAAAGAGCCACCATTCAGTTGTATTTGGCGGAATCTATAAGTGCTTTTGTGACTATCAAAAAAAGCGGGTGTCGTTATATTAAGGTGTCTAAATAGCGGAAGGCAATTACCGCCTATATTGTTCTTAAAAGTTTTTTTTTGCGTTTGGGGATTAGGCAGAATTCGCAGAAATCTGCAATTTGCAGATTTTTGCATGGTTTTATTGAATTCTATGATTTGCATCCAAAATAGGGACAATTCGATTTATCTTATAGACGGTTCTATTTTTGTCCAAATTGGATTGTTGGGACGTCGAGATATCGCATCGCAAGTTACTGAATTTTTAAATTTGATTTTTTTCAGTAAACTAGTTTTGGATAACGGTTTATTTACGCGCATGTGCTTATTTATTAGTAAAAAAAGTTTTCTCTTTTGCACATTTATTCAGAAGAAGATGCTGTAGTATATTTAAACGACAATTAAAAAAAAAACAATATTCAAGTTCTCTGTCGGTCATTTTGTTATCGTTAAATGAGAAAACTTAGTTACGCGAATTTTCGATCGCCGCGATTATAGCGTTTCTGATTTTTACTATTAATTTTATTTATTGCCTGTTTTTTTTTTGTTACAATACTAACGCTAATGAGAAGCCGCTTATTTTCTTAAGTTTGTGCTGCATGTGCTATATTGTGTTGCGTAGAATATTAAATCTTTAAACAATGTTCGTAAAGAACGAGATTAATATGGTAAAATATATGTATTTTTTTCTTCTTCTTTTGTTATCTTATAATTAAGAAACTACATAATTTTTTGGATTGTTATATAATATGTATAATAAATAATACAAAAATTAAATGTCTATGTTATCAATCATTCATTGATTAGTATTATCAAAACAAATATACAATAATTAAACGAATTAAAAGAATAAATCTAATGAATAAGTAATATAATAAATAATATATGAATGTAATGTCTAATATATATTATCTACAGCTCGTCTTTCTTCGCCGACGTCATTCATTTTAGCTTGATCCTTTTTCTTGTTCTTTGACATAAACGTGAATATTGATTTTTCTGTATTTCTATTTTGCTTTCTTCTCAAGTTATTTGATGAGGTCACCGCCGTTGCTGTTTTTCGATAGCTTAATAATGACATTATGACCTTATGGGCGGTTGGTTCATGCGGATAGAAAAAACTAGCGGGACATTCAAAAGAAATTGGGGTAATCCATCGTTCTCCACCTCGCAGTTTTCGTATTGTTGGTGGGGCAGTTTCCACTGTATATTTAAATGAATAGGACACTTGTAAATGTTTTGATCCATGTCCTATTCTATACACGTCACGTTGCTGTTCTTGTTCTCCGCATGATTTTATCGCGAATTTACAGGATTTTTGAAGGAAATTTGTGTCAAGCTTCAAGACATGGTGGTTATTATGATGAGCATTAGTGCTCGGTAGATTTCGTAATGAATTCGATGAAGACTTTGGTTTAAGAGATTTTGACGAGGAGATTTGTCGGCACGACAATGAGATTTTACTGATCGATGGGTTACGAAGTAAAGGAGAATGAAATAATCTCAGACTTGTCTGTTGCTTTATCGGCCTAAATACCAAATTCCCCGTTTGTGTATTCACATGTGAAAATTTAAAGTCAACGTTGAAACGCCATTTTTGTTCTTGTTCAAATCCTAAGTGAAGCCGTAAATTTGGTTCGGCAAATCGAGATTCTAAAGCAACAACTGACACTTGATGAAAACGTTTTGAAACGTTGCAAACCGAGAGAAGGGTGATTATGTCAAGATTTTGGAGTATAAGTAAGAGGATTTCATTTGGGAAAGAGTTCAGCGTTATGAATGGTAAGCTCGTTGATTTAAATGGGGAGGAGACGATCTCCTTGGATCTTTTTTGGAAAATCATTTCTTCGGTGAAAGGAGTAAATGCGTAAATGCAAATACAAAAAAATAATCCGATGATACCGAGAAATTTGATATATGATTAGGTCGAGAAAGTTTAATGTTGTGTATATTTAAAAAATAAAAATTTAATTAAATATTAATAACAAAGATTCATACAGACAAGCCTTTGAATATATGTGTGCGTGTGTGTATGCGTGTAGAGAGAAAGAAAAAATTATAAAGATTCTTATTGATGATTTATTGAAAAATGAGGCAAAATAACGGTAGTCCCTTTTATCTTGTCTCTTGCAGGTAGATCTGTTCTGTCTATTAAAAAGTTTGGGTTTTTATTGTTATTGTTGTGGTTTAGTCAAAAGTAAAAAAAATAGTGGAGAGTATATATATATATATATATTTATTTTACATATATATAAATATGTGTATATATATTATATATCTATATATCTATATATCTATATATATATATGTATATATATAGATATATATATAGATATATAATATATATACACATATTTATATATTTATATTAGATAGAATACAAGTAAAAAAAAAGTATACATGTATGAAATGTGGGGTTTCTTTAAGGTCACCCGAAATCAGGTTTCAGATTATTTTTGTAAGTAATTCTACAAAATATATTTTCCCTATTTATTTATTATTTGGTAGAACAACATAACACCACATTCATTAAAGAGTAAACAGGTAACACAAATAACACAAAACATGGACAATAACATTAAAAAAAGGCTAATTTCTCTGTATAATGGTTTGAGAACAAATGACGAATATTGTTAGATAAATTAAATCATTACACATATGCTAGTTACACGGTAAATCATTAAATGGTAATAATATTCCCATTTTTGTCATTTTCGTTACAAATTTATGTTGTATCGGTATGCTCAAATGATAAATATTACATTTCTTTTCTTTTCGGATTCGGTTTTTACTATTCTCTCTCTATTGGGTGATTTTCGGTGGCTGGGATGGCGGCCGATTGGTTGCTGATTGGTACAATGAAGTGACATGATTTCAAGGGAAACAGAAATTAAGTTTTGTTCAATAACTGTAGTATTATTTTATTTTGAGCGTGTGAGAATTTTAAGCTCGATTGAGTTTGTCGTAGACAAGTTTTTTTTCTAAATGCGAATTCTATAATTCAATTACACAAGAATCGAGAAATTTCATACAACCAAAGAAAGACACCTGCTAATTTTCGTTAATTAATTCATTTTCATTCGAACTCATTCTAAATACTTTTTCATTCGAGTTCATTACCCACACGAAACCAGAAAATATAACGCCCGAGTTATTCAAAAAGCTATCAATGATTAATTTTCAATAAAAGTTATATGCTGATCGATATCATAATAGGTAAAAGTGATTATTGTTATGCATTTACCTGCATGAATGTATTGTTTGTCAATCACTTCGGGACGGCTCGTTTTGCTTGAAAAGCGATGGCGGGGGTCATTTTTATTGACCTATGGATATATCGGTGTATTTACCGAAGTTAAAATCTTCCTTAATACTTTGTATGGCCAGACGTGCCTAAGCGCAAGTCGTCGGGAGACATAGAAAAAATCAGATATAAAGTGCATTTACTGAGGGTAAAATACTTAATGCTTCATAAATCAAAGCGTGCATTATTGGAGGGTAAACTAGTGCGCGTGTATTTAGGGAGGTCGCATTCTACTGTAGAGAATCTTTGTTACAATTGTCTCCCCTTTTTCGATCTTTCCAGTAAGCATGAATAAAATTAAAAATAACCTTTTTTTTACCGTTCTTGTGCGTGTGTGAATGTATATATGTAATTGCTATTTTTATGCAAAGTAAGCAAAGTACACATATTTTGTGCTGTAGAAATTTTGCCTTTGTTTGTAATTATCGAGATTGGTCACAGAAAATCTTTCTTTGCATTCTGTACAAGAAGTTATTACCAGATTTTTCCAGAAAATCTACATGTTATGACCGATGAATGAAAGGGCGCTCACGGATTTCGAACATTTCCAAGGGATTTCCATCACAATCAAATTTTTTTGAGTCATAATTTTTCCGTAGTTTAAATATCCTAATGTAGTTAATGGTAGTCACACAAAATCGTCACAAATGTACTTTGAAAATCCGGGGTACGTGAGAATACTAGATATTCACCTTTCATTATTCTCGAATAGAGTTGATTTGTAAGTGCAATGAATGAATGAAATTTTGTTATCTTATCAATTAGATGGATCCACAATCGAAGAAAAAAAAAGATAACTTTAAAAATCAATAATCTAGCTTAAATCGGGCTAAAGGTTCATATAAACTTGTAATACATTCAAGCGCACAAATAAAAACAAAGCACAAGTAACTCAATGATTTCGCTATTTTCATTTATTTATTATGTGCTTTTTTTAACGAAGACAATTAGGGTTTCTAATGCAATTGTTGTTTTCGAGTAATGACCGACCCTCCTTACGAAAGGAATAAATGGCGTCTTTTCCTTCATCAGTGTTGTCATACATGTTTTGCGGTTTTTTCTTGATCACAACAACAGCATACAATCTCATTTACGTAATGTATGCACAAACCGTGTAAGAAGAAGAAAAACTTTTTCTCACACGTTTATTTGTTATTTGATGCTATTTGCTGATTTATCATAATTTTTACCCCGCTTTCCTTTTCAAGGTTTTTCTGAAGAAGGCAGATTATATCATAAATGATGTACGTGTCCGTGAAGTAACATGTGGGAACGGACAAACAGATTGCGCGAATTGGTTTATGGAATGGTTTGCTTCTTTGTGCCATCTTCTTTGAAATTTGCGAATTTATTCGGGTAAGTTACCCTTGATAATAACCCATTATTAAAATGCATAGAAATTACTAAATCGCTTTTTTACGTAAAAAGTTTCCTTCAATATTATTCATACACACAATAATAAAGTATAAAGTGACGACGGCGGTGACGGCATAAAAGAAACATCAATGGAAAAAAAAGCAAGATGGTGCATAGATAATTTTAAAGGAGATCGATCTTGGTTTTTAATCTAATATGTACGTTCATGACTGAAAAACCCAAAGAAACGAAACGTAAAACATGGCATACATGAATCAATATACAAAGGACATTGATGCAATGATTCTCTCGATCTGTGCACTTGACGATAATAATCCCGATTTACAATAGGACCAATATAAAAAAAAGTTTCCCGAAAAGGCGAAATGCGGAGGCGAACAAAGACAAATCAGTCGCCATATACATGTACATGTAAATTCCCACTTGTATGCTTTATCAGATCTAATAAATGAAAAAACAATTAGAAATTATGTTATTATTCGAGTATTACATGTAATATGTATTTATAGAAACAACGGAGTATCAATGAAAAGACTGGCGCTGAGGGCTTATTTTTTATGGGGTGATTATTAGAAACTGATGATTAAATAGAATAATAAAAATCAATTTTAAAAAAGATTATCAGGAATTAATTATATATGTTGCATTCTTCTACATGTGATCACACTATTTATCACCCTATTGTAAAAAACCACACTGCTCCACAAATAAACCCCTCTATGGTTACAACTCTTAATAATCACATTTTTTTAATTAACCTGAACCCCTATAGTCACTATTACTAGACCGTTGTTGCATAATGAATCATTATTTATTGATTGTCAATGACGTATGATAATCTGATAAAAAATTTTTCAGTGGTCTAGTCTAAATTACGAATTAAAATTAGGAAAATTAATGAACTATAGAGTTCTTTGTTTTTTTCACTATCATTTAACAAATTACGTGAATGTGGTCGGAGTTTTTGGACAAAAATGTGTATTTTTATTATGTTTTACGTATGAATGATATCGAGAGCGTTAGTTTCATAATCAACTTAAGTATTCAATGACAGTGTCTAAGATTAGAGTTTTTTATTGAGGATTTATTTTTCGATGATGGAAAATAATATCCGAAGTTTTTTTACCCTGTATGATATTCTTCGTAATATGACGAAAAAAATGATTAGGAAGTTGAGTGGCAATGTTAGCTTAACAAACAGTCAGTCTTAGCATGCTAGGATCAAGAAATTACAAAGTTTGATAATATGCTCTCCAGGATATTAGTGCGATGACAAAAAATTTTTTCTTTGAGTTTATTCGATAAACCTCACTTAATATAAATTAATTAAATATCGCAATACATTTTATTTCTCGTTATCATCTTTAATCACCAGTTCTCTGAACGATTGCTTGCAGTTCTCGAGAGCAGTCTTTCCTTCATCATCTTGCAGTGTAATATTTGTCCCATGCCGATAAAGAAACCTAGCAACTTCTAACTGTTCGGAAAGACATGCTAATAATATAAAAATATACATTATTGTTGGTATAAGGATAAAATCCGGATCAAGATATGCAAAAAATCTCAGGAATACCATAATGTAAAGGTGTCTCTCGCTCATTTGTCTGCAAGAAAAAAATAATTATAGCTCAAATTTTCTAAAAATTAATTGATTCATTTGTCAATCTAAAGGCAAAAAGGATTTTTTTACCAGGGCATTGACATCCGCACCTCTTTCTACCAACAATTCCACGACTTTTAGCTGACCACTATCACTTGCCCAATGTAATGCCGTTAATCCCTGAACAATGACCGACCAGCCAACCAACCAATTAATAATAATTTTTTACCGGTAACAATAAAGTTTGATTCTCTCTTACTTGTTTGTCTTTTGTATTTATATCCACTGTAGAGTCTAATAATTTGATTATGTCCGAAATCTTGCCCTGCTTGGCAAAACAAAAAATATCCGGTCTATGATTTTGAATAAATCATGATTAACAAGGTTTCCATGTCGTATCCAATGCAAATTGAAATTAATTACACACTCCAAAAATTTTTCCTCTGCTTCATCGTCGATGTGAGATAACGTAGATACCGCGAACCCTCGCGAATCTTGATTTTTCTAAATGAATGAGTTTATTGGCAAATCCAACGCTTAAAATTTTTTTTGATCTAATTAAATCATTTTAATTTGTTCTAAAAAAATAAATACCTGTTCTCTGTCATCATTATCATCATCAACATCAACATCATCATCATCATCATCATCATCATCATCAGAATCTTCGTTGTCAGCTCGTTGCCAACCTACATTAGCATTCTCTATCACCTCGATATATCGTAACATGGCTTCTTTTTGGCTCATGTTCCCGATTGATTTCCATGCATTCCATTTCGCTCGTGCCACAAATTCAAGTAAAGATGGTTTTGGCGTATTGCATGGGCCAATTGTGGCAGTTTTGTAATAGGCATAAAGCTATACTTCGAACTGTTAAAAACTTGTCCAAACCAATCAAATTTTTTACGAATCACATTGGATACCTTTAATTTGATGTCATCTGATAGCTTTATCGATGAGTCACCACTGATGAAATCAACTGCTGATACGAAATTCACGGAGAGTATTTCATTTTCAGACATTCCCTCTATTATTATAAGCTATTCTGGATTCGATGCTGAATGAACAAAATTCACATGCACAACAATGAAATAGATTTGATCGCGTGTGATTAATTGAACACACGCGAGAATTTTTGATCATCAAGTTACATATCAGACTTAAAAACTTTGGTTTTCTCTTTCTTTTTATATCCATCTTTAAGAAATTTCCTCTAGTATTTATTTAAAACAAACAAAATGCACGACTTGCTCACCATGAAAACCGTTGTCGAACTCGGTATATCAGCCGGAATATTGGTAGGCTTTAAAGCCTATTTTCCTGACCAATTCCCATTTGTGACGATAGTAGTAATAGTGGCATGGTTCAAGTATCTATATATCGACCGCGAAACACGTATTTACTAATTTAACTTAATTGAAAGACTAGCAGATTTTTAGATATTATGCAGAAATTAACATTTTGAACATAAAAAACTTATCGATCGATATATATATCATCATTCTTTATTATTCTATAAGAAGTCAAAAAACCCGTGTTAAATCCAAATGAGTGGAAAAAATTCCCGCTGATAGAGAAGCATAAGATCAGTCATAATGTTGCTTTGTGAGTAATATCACCGATCTCGTACATTTGAGGGATTTCATTGCTATGGTTATTGATGGTGTTTCGTTTTAGATATCGGTTTGGACTTCCGAATCAGGATGATATACTTGGACTTCCTGTTGGCCAGGTACTGAATATATGAAGTGAATTTGAAAGTTACTTTTTTCATGGAATATCGCGTTGATACAGACAATCTCTTTGACAATAGCATATCTCTGTACAAGCGGATATCGGTGGAAAATTAGTACAACGTAGCTACACGCCAACTAGCAGTGACGATGATCGAGGATTCTTTGATCTGTTAATTAAGGTATATCTTAAAGAAATTTGAAAGATTTAATTGAAAAATTTATTGACTTGAAATTTTACTTTTCACAGACATATCCAAACGGTCTAGTGTCAAAATATATTGAGCGATTGGAAATCAATCAAACACTTACTGTCAAAGGGCCAAAAGGACAATTCAAGTATAGACCGGGACTGGTCAGAGCGTTTGGAATGATTGCAGGTTGATTTATTGTTATTATCATGGGTTTCTTTTTAGAGAATTTATTATTTTAATTTAAGTATGATCATTGTCAATAGGTGGTACTGGCATAACACCTATGCTTCAGGTATTTTCTATTTTAATATGTTTTTTATATTTTTCATAGCTTGAAAAATTTTGTTTGACATATTTGAATGCTAATTGTTAGATTATCCGGGCAATCCTAAAAAATCCCGAGGACAAAACCTCAATCAGTTTGATCTTTGCCAATGTGAATTTTGATGATATTCTATTAAAAGACGAGTTGGATCAACTTGCAGAACATAACGAAAATTTTAAGGTTTATTATGTGTTGAATAATGTAAGTTGAGAGTTAAATTAGTTGATTCTGATTTGATCATGTGAATACGTACAAGAAAGGAATGTGATTTTTATTATCGATCTCGTTTGGTGATAGCCACCAGAAGGATGGACCGGTGGCATCGGATACGTCTCAGCCGAAATGATCAAAAAACATTGTCCCCCGCCAGCCAATGATATCAAAATGTTGCTTTGCGGTCCTGGTCCGATGGTAACAGCAATGACGAAAATAACTGATTCATTAGGCTATGAAAAACCACGTGCATTATCAAAACTTGAGGTAGAAAATCAGCATGATTAGTGGGTGTATATTTGGGTCGCAATATTTCTGATCTATTCTTTTTTTTCTTAATAGGATCAAGTTTTCAAGTTTTGATCTACATTCTTTATTCATGATTTCCTCAGGAAAGAATCCATATCTTCCATAATTGAAATTGAGAAGGGTTTTTTTAATCGCGTTTTTTGAGTTCGATATAATATATTATTAATATTTAGAATTTGAATTTTTATTTGTTTGCATTTGAACTTTTGCATTTCTGTCATCGATCGAGTATAAAAATTAATCATTGTATTATATATGATCATGATAAAAAACTTAATCTTTGAGCATTACTTCAAAAAATCAATGACTGACTGATATTCTTGGAGAAGAAAGGCATCATGTGTGAATTATAAAAACCAACAATGCGATTTCCTTATTTGTATTAGTATTCCTGAATTGTCGTCGTTATCTGCGCATACGTTGTGTCTAACTATCATTCATTTTCATACATATTAAAATTATTTTTTATTTTATTTTTACTTTCTTTAACATAATTTAATACGTAACGCTGCCCTTCTTTATTTCTCTTTCATAAAAAGCCTCTCTCTTAATGTCGTCACTTTCGAAATCAACCAACGCTCTATACAACAATACCAATAGTAACAGCCCAACAAGCAACAGTCACGTTGGTAACAACCATAACCTGCACAAGAGTTTATATGAGTCGCCGCGTAGTAGTCATAGCCATAGTAGTAGCGGAAGTAGCAGACAAGCGTCAACTGGTTCGTCCTACTCGCTCATTTCGTCTTCAGAAAAGATGAATAACCGTCTCACGCCAAAAGCTGTAAGCATCGCCCTGGCAGTCCTTTCACCCGCTTGTTTCTTGGCTACGGCAGCCTTACAACAACTACAAGTGGTGGAAAGCACGGTGTTGCCTTCACTGTATAACTTTTTCCTAAGAAAGGATATACCATTCGTGATGATCGGTGTGATGTTCTTTTGGGTGTATGTGCTCACGGCGTCGCTCAGTGTTGTGGCTCAAGCTGCTGGATTGAGGAATGGATATGATAATAATGTAGGTTCATTCATTTTCCCTGCATTATTGCCATTGGTTCGATTCATCCGGTGAAATTAAACGATAATTTGTTGCGCTTTATTACTACAAGGAACCCAGATATCACAAGTTATCAATACGAGGAGCCTTCGGAAGGATGATTGCGGCGCATCAAGTTGCTTTAGAAACTGTTCCTGGTATGGTATCCTAGGTTATGTTTGAGTGCATGTGCATGTTTGGTTATTATTTCTATATGATTCGATGCTAATTTACGGTCTATTTTGGAATTATTCGGGATCATGGAACAAATGACAGCCTTTTTTGCCGTGGTTATTATCGCTTCGGCTAACAAAGTCCCGTTAGAATACAGGATAGAGTTTGTATCTATTTATTGGACGATATATTTTTTTGAAACATCATAAAAAGTGATGCTAACTAAGCTCGCATAATAATCATATTATTGGCATTGGTAAATTCAGTTTTTCCATTCTTTATACATTCCTCCGCATCATACACACCCCATTGTACGTACTGAATTTTGATATCGCACGAGCTGTCACACACGTGATGGCAACCTCGTGTGTCGCGTGGCTTTTTGCGTTTGCGCTCATACCTGGGTTCGAGAGAAATTACTATTCGTTGATAATGGATGTTGTTAGATTGCAGCGGGGAGTGTCAGGTGGCGGGTTTTGGGGAATCGATTAATAAATGATTTTAGATTGATTTATTTGGATATATACGCTCGACCATATGAATGATTGGTCGATCGCGAGGTAATTGAAATTTCTTATCATGGGAGGTGTATTATTAGTTTGATTGCTTTTTGATATTTTGGTTTGGGAGGTGATTATTTATCTTGATAAGTGAGTTTGTTATGAAAGATGGTTTCAGAAATATACTCTCTGGTAGCGGGGATACAAAAAATTTGTCGTCCGCACGGGCTCGAGGAAATCAACACATTATACAGAATAGAACATTATTTTTACAATTATTAGAATATTAGTTTTCTTGTAATTATTTTTTGTATAACATTTTCTTTCGATTTTGTTTAGAAAAGAATCATGTAGTGGTGTTTCTACTATTTATTATCCCTGATAAGTTGTGATACGTCTTACTGTACTATTTATTGATCATCAAATAGACAATTTCATATAATATTAATGTAATGCAAATTTTTATATATCCTCGTATTTTAATATACACATATAACATTGTATTTAAACGTAATCAAAATTTATAAACGAATTCACCATGACTATGCCTCTTACCTTTGAAATCTAGCCATTTTATTACAAAAGACGAAAATTCTTGAATCATATTGTCTTGCTCTTTTTCATCATCTCTGGTATATTGATGATGGTTACGATATATTAAATTGGCCTTATCCATAATTACCCGTTCGTAAAACGTTCATTCCACAGTATTTTGTTTCAATTATATTGTTTTCTCCCTGAATTTATTCACCTCGCTAAACATATAGTTCTCTTCAACCGACTAAACTAATTTTCCTTTAATCTTTTTCAGAATGCATTTCTTGAATAATCTTTCGAGGACAGAACTCTTGGTGGCTCATCAAAATAACGCCGAGTTCTCACATAATCATTAATGTTCGGATCACATTTATCCTTTTGCTATCTCGCGTATTGCTTTGTCTGCATAATGACTTGATCTTCGAATTGTTTTTTCAAATTTAAAATGTATTTTTACATAAGTTAATATTAATTTTACAAAATATGTTTTATTATAAAAATTTATTCTCATTAATTCTTCAGTTGTTAGTTAAACATTTATCGAGATAGATGAGTAAAAATAATTTATTGAAATACATTGCAAAAAAATTCATAAGCCAAGAGAGGTTAAGAAATGAAAATTTTGAATATAAATGACTAAAACAGAAAATATAAAGAGCAAGGAAAGATGTTGCAAAATGACAATTTGGTTACA